AAACACCTAGGACTTTGCGGACCTCATTCCCATCAAGGAATTCCTAGCATCCCCACCTGAGTTCATCGCACGCCCAATAGTACGCCCTTCACCAAAACTTTGTCGTACTTGTCATCACCAACAGACACTGGGCCAAATGTGGCCTCTGCACTATCGACGACATATTACGGCGTATGAAGCGCGACCCATTCAGTGGCACACTCTCATCGTGAGAGGGTGCAGAAAGCGAGAGCGAGCGAACAGCTGAGGAAACTTCCTCACATTCAACATTTCAGCTCCATTCTAGTCATATTAGCCGAAAGCTGCTCCGCCGTGTGAGTTATTTATCATTTTTTCTTTATAGGACAGTAATCAACAACAGTTATTACCATTTTTTCCGCTAGTAAGTTTCTACATCATCGCTTTCAATTACCAGTAAGTAACCTGTGTGTATTTGATGACTCAACCACCTTCCTGATAAGAAAAACCTTTCTATAAGATGACCAATATGCAGTGATACTTATATTTTTAGTTTGAGAACCGATTACTGACTATTCAATTGACTACGTTACTATTCATTGCTTGATTTTACACTGGTTACTCCCTTTGTTTTACCATAGACGATTACTGAAAACCATCGGCTTATTTCTAAAAATCGACGCGAAAAACTAATGTTATTATTATTACTACAACCATTAGTATTACTTTAGGACTATTTAGTATGAGCGCTGGTTAAAAAAAACAATCAAATATTTCCCACTGGAATACTAGGGTGAAAAACTTATATATTCTTGAGCGCTTATTGTTGTTTATGTTTATTTCCGGATGTTTATGAAGCACTCGAAAATAAAAATTGTAATTTTAGATTATCCCTTTGAACGGACAGCATTGAAAGAATTTAAAAAAGTAGCAAGCTAAGTTATGACAAGAAATAATCGATTAGCAGCGTCATAAGCTTCAAAACCCGATGATTTTAATATCGAACTCTTAAATTCATTGCCGTAGCAAAGTGCTACTTTTAGTTCCATGAATAATTGAGTTATTAAATGTTCCATAAACTAAACATGGCTATATATCCATGATTGGTGTTTTTGCTTGTTGCTTCTTGCTCTATTGCTCTTTAGCAACTACACAAGCTTGACTTGTAATAAATAAATAAACAAGTAAATTACTGAATAAATGACCAGCTACCGATATAGTTGTTTTTGTGCCAATACTACAATATCCCCTATCCAGTGATATGGAATGAGTAATCGATCGGATTATGGGCAGTTCGGCATCCAGCGAAGTTCACCGCAATAGAATTCCTCAACGATCGCAGGCTGATTATGAAAACATCTCCTGGTCATCGTTTTTGGAGATGATCAAAGAATTGAATAGGAAATGTTTTCGAGTTCGCAACGAAAAAGGAGACTATATATGCTTTGCGTTGGATCGAACGTGTGCCGACGAAATTTTGTGGAAGAAGAAAGTGAGAATCAAATGCTTCACGGTCAATTTAGATTCGCTTTTAGTGACCTCAAGTAAGACCCTGAAATTAGAGGAATTCCTTAATGTTTACAATGTACACAAGGATGCTATTCAAAGTAATGCTCAAAATGTTATGTGCTCTAGTAGATATGTGCTGAATGAAACCGCTGATAGCGATGGACAATGTTGTATATGTATGGATAACAATACTGAAGTGCTTCTTCCATGCTTGCATTCATTCTGTATGGCTTGTGTCGCTCAGGAATTAGAATTCCGCCCACAGTTCAGTTGCCCTATTTGTAAAACTCGAATTGAACACCCTATAGAAAATTCTTGGGAAGTTGCAGATCCCCCAGAGCCTTCCGATATAGTTTCCTATCTCAGTAAACTTTCCGGGAAGTAAAACGTTGTGATTGTTTTGATAAACTAATACAAAGCGAGATGCCCTGTCTGGTTCATGAACCTTTGTATTCAACGAGACTTTTCGTACATATCTCTTTCTGATTGGTGTTCTGAGTGATGAATAAACCGATGACTCAGTTTCCAGTCTTATTTATTATAGGTTTAGCTTCGAAATGATTACTATTACTTACTATTACATCTGTATTGTAGAGCTCCAACAAAGAACACCGATTTCCATTGATTTCTGTCACCAACTATATTGGTTTGAAATTGGTTTGGAATTGCATGGTCATTAAGTAGAAAATGAAATGACAGGATGGGTATCGATGAAGAGGCACGTCAAGCCTTATATTACGTTGTATTCTGTGTTGGACTGACGACGTATCGTTATCCGTCGCAGAGCTAACACCTTCAATATAGCCTTAATGTAATTTAGCTAATCTCTAAACCTTTCAAGAAAGTAAAAAATAAGAAGAAAATCCCTAGGATTATTGTACATGACTTTAGGTTTAGGAAAAGAAGCACAAAGTAGTATGCATACTTGAAACGCTTCGGAAGCTGGTCAAGTAAAAAGATGCAAGAATAAAGTCATTTGGCATTAACCCAACACGTTTTGGGATGCGCCCCGCAATCGACCTCCATTCAGGGTCGTAGATCTATTTTGAGTGCCTACGTCGCCCAACTTTGGTAATGACTGACACCAAAAAGTTGAAAAGCTTTTTTGGCCAGGACAGTTATCTGAACAGGATTTGATCCCCGGACCATTAGCGTGAAATGGCAATTCCCCATCTTCGTCCCTAGTAATTAAAACTACAGTCACCAGAATAACGAAAATATGGAGGTTAGAAGAAATCTTGAACAATGTTTCCTTGAATCTGTAGGTCACCTATACCAGACTTCATCCCATGGGCATGAAGGGAAACAAAAACTCGAAATTGATTCACGTTATAAGACAAATCACTGGATTGATCAGGGACCTACATACTTAGCAGAGTAACGATATGGGCTCTTTATAAACAAAAAAAAAACGAAGCGAAAGATGCATACCTTTGCTACAAACGAGCCACCAGGTTTGAGCACATGTGTGGTTATATTCAGAGCTGATAGTACGAGCTGCGCTTGCATGTACTCATCTAACGAATGTAATCCAGTGACTGAAAAAGTAACGACTTTATTCCGGCTTTTCATGTTAAAAACGAACAACAACCTACCGTCAGGTGCACCATCGCAGACTACCAGATCAGCCAAAGTACCAAACACTTCAATTATTCGCTTAGCAGTAAAATTCTGAATATTCCGAATAATTACAGGGCTCACTATATTTGGAATTTGCAGTAAACCATACACACATCGGTGATATCGCCTTGAATTTGTACAACACCATTGATCGGTGACATTGGCTGAAGATCGACAGCAACGATTTTCACGTCATCCTTGTTTTTGCCATTCTCAAAAAGTCGTTTCGAAAGAACCTGAAAGTTTAAACGGACTTATTGACATTTTTCTACGAAATACTATTTCTTTGTAGTTCCGGTTACCATGGAAGTTATTAATCCAGTTGGGCAGATCTCCACGAATTAAGCGCACCATCCGGATCAGATAAATTGACTGCGAGGCAAGCTTATCGCAATCGAATAGGTCAAGAAAGCAGAAATACCTCTAGTTGCCTATTATCTCTTCCTTTCAGAGCATGGCCTTTCCTGGCCTTCTGCTTGTTATTTGGTTGTCTAGCTTTTTGCTACCTTCAATCAGAACTGTTTTTTGCTTGTCTCTAAGTGCCCTCACTGAGACAGTGTTCAGTGGTGTTCATTTTAGATCGGATAAACTTCCTTCAAGGTAATTTTAGAGACCATCAATTAATAATGATCAGAGGTGATGAAGTGGCAAGAGGCGCAGTATCACACGCGCAGGGCCCAAGGATCGAATCCCGGATCGGTACTTGCATAGTCCAACCAGCATTCTATCCCAGCGGGGTCGCTTAACTGGTATCACATTCGTTGAGAAGGATGAAATTTTCGACTCTACATACATCGACTGCCCACCGCAATACACTGTGTAGGCCACACCCGCATTCAAGCAGCCACTACGGCTCTGAATGTGGAAGCCAGAAGCAGGGACCAAAAAATTCTCACACTCACCGATTAACATTACTGACTTTTGACCAATATCGTTATAAACATTGAGGCGAATTCAGGTCGAATGAAGAAAACTGTATAGCTTAAAGGAAACTGCACGAGTCCAAATTAAACTCATTTGAAGACTCTTCCGGATGGCACGTTCAAGGGGAAGACATATCCAAGCGGATAGAGAAAGTGACGAACTGATCTACTACAGTAATGAGGTCGCAGCATTGAGGACGAGCGTGTCTCCTCTCTCAAAATGGTCCCTTTATGCATGGTGAAGTTCCCATGAAGACCTATCAAGCGAATCTCCC